TGGTTTGGTTCGCACTATAGTCGACTGGACTCGTTTTTTGCGACGGCGTCTGCTTTGCGGCATCGGCGTATGATTTTTGCACGAGCAGTTTTTTATTTTGCACGCAAGTAGCCCCGATGTGCATGTATTCGCGGCAGTGTCGGCATGTTTGTAGCTGCCCGAAATACGATACATTAGTCACTTCGCCGTCGATCGTGACCCACGACTCGATGTTTCGTTTCACCATCATTTTTGCTACACGAACGCCGGTCGAAATGCCAGGGAAATCGATATCGGTTCCGCATCGTTGTTCTCGTATTGCGATTACGTCACCGTATCTTCCTAGAAAATCAGTGATTTTTTGATCCGACACGTCCTCGGACAAATCGTAGAGCCTCACTTCCACTGCTCCCTCCTCCAGAGTGATTTTCAACGGATATTTTTTCCCGTCGACCGTAATTTCGTGTTTGTTGTCGTGTTCCTCACAGATTCGTTGCGCCAACGCTAGGTCGACGACTTTCACGAAAGAAACTCCGAGGGTTCTGCTGTTCTGAATCCGTAGCACTTCACCTTGCTTCAGACCCAATATGGTCGCACAGAATTTGTGAACTTTGGCATTGTCCGGTTTCTTCGGCACGTTCGCAAAATCTATGCGAAAGGTGTTTTCTCGACGGCCCATCGCGAAGTCGTTTGGACGCGCAGCGACACGTAACGGCTCAGCGATGCGCAGAAAGAGAAAAAAAAAACACAGTTGGCACTGGTAATTAGCTTGTGTTCGACTTCCACAGAACTGTAGCAGAAATACATCTGTTCAGCTCGGAAGTTGAGCGCTCACTATCGCGAGAAATCGACGGCTAAAGCCATTGTTTACAAATACAATTACGCCCCTTTGAAATGTTGGCACTGATTTAATGCTTATTTCAGGGCCAACATTTCAAAGGGGCGTAATTGTATTTGTAAACAATGACTTTCGTCTTCGATTTCTCGCGAATGAAAGCTCACTCATGAAAATGAATGACACCAGCAAGTAGAGGAATGTTTCCTGTCCCAGCTAGCATTGGTTATTTGGAGGGGTGGGCTTTTATTTGCGAGAAATCGACGGCTAAAGCCATTGTTTACAAAAGCAATTACGCCCCTTTGAAATGTTGGCACTGATTTTTTGAAAAAGTCCCACCATTGACTACCTCCACTGTGTTTCCAAAGTAGTTATATCGAAACTTCGAGGACTGCACAATATGCCTTGGAGTAATCAATCCACGGAGCTAAGCAGTTCTCCGCTTCCATTCATTTTGTACATGCGACGCTTTCGTTTTCGCTGGCAATACTTGAAATTCCTATGTCGCCAGTAGAAGATATGACGTCGAAAGTCGCAACTCGGACTTGCGAACTTCAGTTTGGTGGTGACGCGGCAATACTGTTGTTAGTGTGTTATCAACAGTGTCAACATCTTCCGGCCTGTTGTACTCGTTCATGTTCATGTGTCCCGTCTTTGTCCAATCATCTGAAATTGCTCAGAGAAACAACAGATTAAGCTAAGTTTTCAAGGCTTAGCTCGTCGAGATATCTATTGTACAGTACCGCAGTGCCGATTGTGCTACATTATCCCGAATGTCACTTTATCCCCAATGTGAAAACAAAGCGAGCAGCAATCAAAAGAAGGTAGCATATCATTCGGGACAATGTAGCAAAACCCCAGTTCCAGTCTCACGCCCGCGAGCAGGTAATTTCGGAAGAGAAAAGCCATGTGTTGGTGTAATACTTGCTCGGAAGCCGTCAGGTGTCAGGTCTTGGTAGCAAATCAATATAATATATCTCGCGTAACATTTGAAAAGGGCCTATGTCCAAAATGTAAACAATCCAGAAAATGAATTGTAAATTTTTCCGCCAGTATTTAATTCCTATATAAATAGATTGAAGTATTTTAGGCATTTATATTGTTCACAATAACAATAGTAACTATATCTCAGTACACAACATCCAAAACATGCGAAACGTTTTCAAAAATACATGAAAATCGATAAAAATTTAATATCACAGTAATAAGCCTTTTTGTGAATCTTTAAATGGTTAGGCCCTTTTTGTTAAGCCGTTGTGCTTGTCATCATAAATTGTAGGCCCTTTGCTAAGCCTTTTCTTAACGTCAAATAAATCATCGGCCCTGCCTCAAGCAGTAGGGCTTAGCTTTGATTTGAAATTTTTCAATCATCGGCCCTTCTACGTCGCTAGGCTTATGAATGGAACCTCATCGAACGAAAAAAAATATATGTTAGGCCCGAGGTTAGGCCGTTTTAGCATGAATGATTGGAAAAATTTGGTGGATCGGCCGTTTTTAAAATCAAGTTATTTTTAATGATTTTTATCGATAATGCGGAACATTCCTATACGACTGGTAGCTAATTACCAGTGCTACAGAATGGTATCAAAAATCGGTTTGTTTACATTTTGGACATAGGCCCTTTTCAAATGTTACGCGAGATATATAATAATATTCCCGCAGAATCGTTAAAAGTCCTCTTCTTCATCACTAATTTCATCCCACCATCATTCCATTCATAACGATCCAACCAGAATCTTCAACGGTCACGAGGATCTGAGCTAAGCCATTCAACGGTTTCGCGCTAGTTTCTCTTGCTTTTAGATTCAGTCAGAGTGTCGGTATGACAACATTACCCCGCTAGTGTGAGTGCTACTGTTGTTATGCTCTCAACACCACCACCTGCAGAAATGCAAGTCTCTTGACGATAAGCACTCGCCACGGTTGTTCGTCGATTGTAGTGAAACAAACATGCACACACAACGAGAACAACAGATGGTGGTCATCGATTTTCGTCGAATTCGGGGTGGGGGGGAGGTACTAAATTAAATCACAGCCGTAGAAGGACCTTGAAAACATCCATGATTCCTGTTCTAATGAACGAAAACGTGTTCGCACTCAAGTTCGAATTGCGCAACATTCACTCGAACGCAGTATTCCGACCTCGAACTGGACCTCCGCCGCCGGGTGTGGGTGGCTTTTGCATAACTGTACCTACCGCTTCCGTCTTCCCTAGCACCGCTCGCTCTCCGGAACATAAACATCCTAGAGATGCGATGATGAGCTAGTGCATAGAAGACGAGTGCGTGCAAAATACGAGTGGCACAGTGAGTGGTAGTAAAATCGATCAAAGTTGGACGTGTGTTTACATTTTTCCCATCGACAAACCGCTTTTCGCCAAAAGAGAATAACATTGCACCAATACATGTGTGGGAATGAAGGAAGTCGACATCGGAACACACACATTCGAGGTAGTTCTTCGGCATGCGACAGGTACTCATCTTGCTGCTGCCCCAGAGAGGACACCAGCGCGCGCGGAGACCAACACATCCCAACAATCCAGTCGCGTTTGAGCGTTCACTCGATCAAGCAGCACTCCTTGCTGGCCATGCTAGGTGCAAATATGTCGTAATCAGTGTAATTTTCCGAGCAGAAGTGCGCCCCAGGAGCCCTCAATCGATGCGTTGCGGCGCGCTCGATCGTTTGGTGCCCGCCGGGGCCCTCAAAACCTAGGAAAAGTGCCTGAAAAGCGAGTGCCAAAGTGAAAATTTTTCACTGCTGCCATCGGGATGAAAAAGCAAGATGGCGGCGGCGCACACCCAGAGCAGCAGCCCAGCGTCCAGTGAGCGGCGATCGGTGTGCTTGTGCACAGTGATTACGACTAGTGTGGATGTGTGCGTGTGCGGTTGTAGGCGAGCGACAACAATGAGTGACTCGACTCCATTCAACAAAAAGAGCGAGTGGAGCGGATTGCAGTGTTGATCGAATCGAGCTTGGCGATTACGAAACGTCGTAATAAAAATCGGTGTTCGCACCCTCTTCTCTCCCCGGTTACTCTCGCAGCAGCACAGTGGAGAGGGGTCCCGATATGTGTCGCGTTTTTTTTCGGAGGCAATATGGCGGCTGATTTTTCCCTCTTAATGAATGATTAATTTGCCCGATTTGGATTCACCTAGCGTCGACTGGGACGTCCAGATGGTTGGAAAGCGTCCTTTCATTGGAGCCCAGCCGGTAGTTACGGTCCTCGGGATTCCACCGACACGGGCAGAAGCCACCCGCTGAAGAACTCCTACTGCTGCGATGCACGACTCGACATTGCTCGACAATCGATGTACGAAGCGCGAAATTTTTCGCTGATAAAGAATGGAAGGCTTTTTGATGTAAACATACGACAACGGCAAAGACGACTGTAGAAGAATACCTGACTATAAAAATTTCCTATGGAAAGTAGATGGAGAAAGACTACCGATTTTTCCAAAAATCTGCCACGAGGAACCCCCCTCCCCGACAGTACGCCTCAATCCAGCAATGGAATTTTGAAATCGCTTCCTATCTCTAGCAGCAAGGAAGTCTTCTTGCTCTTTTTTCATTCAGGGCTTCGGGTTGATTATGGTATTGATTGAGCTTAGAAAAGTGTCATTAAGTGAACTTTTTCGCAAAGAAACCGCCTGCAGGAAACCACTTGCCACATCCGAGAGGCTACCTTTCGATCGGTATCATACGGCCGGCGCTGGGAAGGTAAAAATGACCGTAATTATGAGGCGTTGCTTGCTTTCGTTCCTAGTCTTCATCTCAGCAGAGAAAACGAAACTGTCAAAACGGACTCTACACTTTTGAGGTTAAATATGGGCCACCATTACGCGAATGCCTTTGGAATGGGCTTCTCGCCTTCCGAGACAGCAAGCACTATTTTGGGACAATTCCACCCCAAAACAGGTTACACGTCCAAGCGCGGACGGATTTAAATAGAAATCAAAGGAAAAACGCATCCTCGCGGTTTTCTATTCGCAAATATGTGCGTGCGGTGCTGCTGATGCATACACACACCTTCGAGTGAGAGCGAGACGCGAGACCACGACACTGACTTCAGTCTCGGGACAGACGGGTGGAAGAGAAGGATGGAAGGGAACAAAAAAAAAAGGTTGAACTCGAAAGGAAGCGACCCCGGAATCAGGTGTCCCTCAAACGGCGGAAAATGCCCACTTACCTTATCATCTGCTAATCCGCGTTTTTCCAGCGCTATTCTTTTCTCCATTGTTTTTATGTGACGTTTTTCGCTGCTCTCTACACTAACTTCTGCCCTGTCTTCAGACGGCGACGACGACGACGGCGATCCGGATTATTACGATAGCGAAAAAAAATCAACAGATTATCTCGCTGCAGGCTGGTCTTCTTCCGGGAGGAATCGAAAATCCGTTCCTGGGGGGGCCTACCACTTTTTCCTTCGCTCCAAATCACTAAATTACAGCACTATTAATACAGGGGGCTTGGAATCTCTGCGTATTTCGCACAACGATGAGCACTTTTTCACTTCTTTTAACGTAGTGTAGTGTGTTGTATGACCGCACAGTACAACCAAAACGTTTGATTAATTTTTCGATCATCGACCGACAACGACGACGAAACTCTTTTGCTCGACTTTTCTTTCCGTCAATCGCTTCTTGTGTGTGCGTGGTTGGTGGCACTCACTGCTCCGGTACACTCATTTTTCCCAACGTCGTCGACAGCTAGCGGTACACCTTTGCTTCCGTTGTGTTGTTCTTTTGATGTTGACGACGGCGATGAAGAGTGACCGCCGACAAGAGCGCGCGCCTTGCTCGCGTTTGTGTGAGTATTTTGAGTGCTGAGCTGATGCAGTGTTGGTGTTGTCAGGTAGACTCGATGAACGAGCGAGATTTCCGTGTATGGATACACGCGGGGATGTTTTGCGATACCTACACGAATACACAAGTGGAATCGGGCATTAATTCACCTATCAGAGAGTAATACCAACAACACAGCAAAAAAAAATGTAATATCGATCAACGTAATTCAAGCTGATGTATGAAATAATGATGTAATAGCAAAAAGTAGATACAATATTACATCAATGGATGTAATTTTGTTCGCAAAATCGATGTACATCGTACAATGTGATATTACACAACCGATGGATTGACCTGGTTGCATCAGTTTCGATGTAATATTCAACAACTTTTTTTGCTGTGAATCAATACGAAACTAACGATTTTAAATTGGCTCACCACTTTAGTAGCCTATTGGTCCCAAGCAAACGATTAACGTACCCTATTCTAGTTGAAATTCTATTACTACACTATGTTTGTTTTGATTCGCTATGAAAGTTTGACAGATAACATCAGGGGTGTGTGGATTCATGCAGAACATGCAGGGGTGAGTGAAATAGCTTGGGACTGCTTGGGACCGTTGTTCTGGTACTGAGTGAGCCAAAAATAATAATGATTTTCTTAGGGACCCAGTGGTCTTAGAGTTACCTCTATGCTAGAACTCCCCGCATAAACGCGAACCATCACTTGACCTTACCGATAATGGTTATACATTGTTTATAATCCCTCCTAAACTTTTGCTGAAATAGTTATGGAGCTTTACATGAACGTATGTGTGATAAGTTTTAACCTTATGTATTATGGTTTTTTTGGAAGTACCTTACAAATAATGGGTTGTTAAGAACCATTACCATTCCAAATTATTGTTTTCTCCATACATGTTCGGAAAGAGAACAATATTAGAACCTTTTGACTTATGGATCGAGAACTTTAATGTTAAATGTAAAGGTAGTCAGTAAGGTCCATGGACGGTTTTAAATTATGGATGCGATCTCATACTGCCTAGCCCTTTGAGGTTTGTTTGAGAATTACTATGGGAAAGAGAACAAGTTGAAACGCACCTTTTAAAGTGAATTGCACATAACAATTACCAATGTCATCACTTACTCACACATCTGCCTCGACCTGAGAGGAAGTGGAGACAACTGGCTTCTTTTTGTCTATGACGTGTTCTTCTACTCTCGCGGAAACAACCGTGCAAAAACTATTTCATTGTGGGCGACGCAGTCGACTGTCAAAATGCAAGAAAATAGATTCCCTGTTGTAAAAATTCTCACATTTCTATACGTTCACCCAACCAATCAGCCACTGGTTCGCGTTTGACAGAAAATTGGTTCATAAAAGTTCACTGGTTCGCGTTTGACAGAAATTTGGTTGTTATTGTCTCCTCTTCTTCTTAGGCCTCGACCAACCTGGCAGCACGCAATGACGTTTATATAAGATCCAGGCCAACAGACAGCTTGCTGATGTTAGAAGCAAACATATTGTAAACATTGCTGAGCACTCGTGACGACGTCATTCTACCATAACATGCTATACTGCGAACAGTGAGATTTACGTCACTGCCAATTAACAGCTGTTAGTTTCGTCTCATGATAGTGATAGGACCCAGGGTCACTCTGACACCTTGTGTCTGTGCTTATTGTGTTTCATGTGTGTTTTTGAATTTTGGAAGGTGTTTCTGAGTGTTTCGTCGTGTGGATCAAGCTGTGAAAATTTCAGCCGAAAAAATATACATACTGGCAACCACATCCTCAACCTGATAACGCTGAAAATGACAGATCCCCCTGCGACTAATTTGCTGTTTGTTTAATGAAAAAGCACAACCGGCGGAAGGATTATTTGGAGCTAATACGACCGCAGCCCGGAGCACCGGCTTTCAGACTGAGACATGAAAAGGACTGCCAGCTATATCACTGAGTTTCAGCGTCAGCAGCAGTAGTAGAGTTCCATATCCAGTTCGCATCTGTAGAGATCAAATATTATACCACGTTCACATTACAGCGTATATCACGTGATATACGATATCTGGCAATGAGCACTCATACATCTAGTTTTCACTGGAAATCCTATGTATGAGTGTTCATTGCAAGACAGCCTATATTACGTGATATATAAAATTACATGTGAACGGGGTATTAGGCAGCGTTCAGGGTAACTTGTCCGAAGATTAGTCCTTGAAACGGGTATTGGCCCCTTTCGCTGCAGGAGGAAGACGAATGGGCACGTGCCACCCGGGAAGAAGGACCAAGGGCCAAGGATGTAATTTGCAATTAATTGGTGGGGCCGTGATTGGGCTGCTGATGATTAGAAATCAGAAACTGTTCCGTTGCGTTTGTCTTGGTTTTCTTGCAAGACATGTTTACCTTTTTTAGCATCTAGCATAGCAACCTTCTGATGCTGCTGCTTTCGTGGATTTCTTCGAATTGGAGGATTTCAAAACAGGGGCAGATTACTTAGGGAAGGAGAATTCCAAGATGCACACAATACACAGAACCGGCACATCGGAGTTAAAATTCAAGTAAACATGGTTGTTTTTACGCTTTTGCTGCCCCCTCGATAGAGTTGACGTTTTCGCTTTTTTATCAAAATAATCACACACAAAATCCATGATGTTTGGTTTTTTAAATTACTCTAATTGAGTGTGCAATACACGTTTGAAACGATCATGATGATACCATAGAGGTAATTCTAAGACTAGAAGGTCCCGAAGAAACGTGCTCAACTTTTTGGCTCAGCTCTGGTACACTCTTCGGTCCCAAGATAATCGATGCACCCCTCGAAACATAGAAAAATCCACGAACCCATAATTTTATCTGTCAAACTTTCATAGCGAATCAAAACAAACATTGTGTAGTACTAGAATGTTGACTAGAATGGGGTACGTTAATCGATTTGCTTGGGACCAATATACCAAAGATGAATACTAAGATGAAACTGTCGGAAGAAAAACTTTCTATTTTAGTGTCTTCTTTCACGGTCCCTTTCATCCAATGAGAACCCCCCGTATTCAAGGTAATTTTGTGGTTTTGCTGCCCCCTCGGAAGAGATGAAATTTTGCGCTAATTTTTATCAAAACAATCACACCAAAATCAGAGGTGTCCCATTTTTTAATTACTCGATTAACAACTAATCGATTATTTTTTGTTCGCTGTGCTGTCATTTTTGAGAGTTCAGCACATGTTTGAAACGATCGGTGATGATCCTATGGAGATGTTAATGCTTATATCGGCATGATCTAACCGATTATAAATAGTTTACTTTTCGGTTCGTTAATCGATTAAACGATTAATCGAATGAAAATCAGACATCACTAGATGAATGTGAAACGCCATTTCAAATATAAGGCCGTTCATAAATAATGATACAATTTGAAAGGGACCGGGGCTAATCACAAATTACGTCTCCATGGTAACTGAAATAAACACGAGTGTTCACCGGTTGAATATACTAGTCAAGTAGTGAGCCAATTTAAAATCGTTTGTTTCCACCGGTTGATTATACGATCAATCAATTGATTACTTTGCATAATATAACCGATTAAATATATTTGTACGAGGCTCAGTAGCTCAGTGGTTACCGTTTCTGCCAGCCCGGTGGCAGGCTCGTAGGCAACATTGTATACGGTGACAGCGGGCCCAGTACAGCAAAACAAATGATTTCGGCCCCGGACATGCTACCTACTGTCAAACATAGCTGTTAGTATAGGCCTTGTCACCGGCCTGGTTTCTGCTTACTGAGCAGAAGGTCGGGAGTTCAATCCCAGGCCCATCCTCTTCCTTGCAATTTTTCACTTTGCCTTATTCTATACCCACTAGATTTTAATGAAAACAAATTCTTCTTTAACACCGATCGCATCACTTACCACAGTGTGGGTCCTGATCTAAAAATAGAAATTGGATGAGTGCGCGCGCGTGTGTGTGTGTGTGTTTGTGTATTATAATCACTCTACCAAAAAACGACCCCTGCGTGTGCGTGCAACCTTTCCCCACATCCAACATCCCAGTGATTTCTCGTGGAAGCGCAGAGGATTTCTCGGTTTCCTTCACAGCGAGTACCACCACGTCCTGGGGGCAAGACAGCTTTCGATCACGAGTAAAATCGGAGTTAATTTTGAGTAACTCTGAGCAACTCGCGTTGACCAATATATTATACACATAGCAACCTGAATGCTATATTGAAAACAATTTTGAAACTGATGCTGTCAAGCAAATTAACTTGACGTGTTTTCCAGTTTTGATCGATGAGCCTCGAAGTAAGTATTAATTTAAAAAGAAAACTTATTATTTATTCGAATTATATTCCAAAAGTGCAGAAGATTAATTTGTCGTTTCACTTACGCAGGATTACTTCTGGGAAAAAAATCCAACGAGACGTTGGAAATGTTCTCCCCCACATAAAAAACATTCTGAAGCTGGAGGGGCTAGCAGCAAACGGTGCGCTTGCAATGCTCACCCGGGAAGACATTTCGGCGATAGAACTGCAAATGCGTTTTCGTATAGGACAGGTTGACACAATCTATTACAGTATCCTCCTACTAATCCAGCTCTCGTTAATCCGATATCACGGTCTCGTATGGATTGATTGATTGATTTATCTTTATTAGGGAGGCTTTCAGCCTGGGGCTGGTTCGCCTCCGATCTCGTATGGAGCTTTTGTTACATTGTTTTGTATGGATTTGACAGTTGGATTATCGGATCAACGGATACTGTAGTTTACAGCTTGTTCCCATGCAAAGTCCCACCGAGGGGCGCTAAGATGGTGTTTTTTTCTTCTAATGTAATCGCACTTATTTGAAATAGTTCCACTAATAGTTCACCAAAATTTATGACATTGGATTTCGGTTCGATTTTTAATAAAGATTACGAATATGTATTTACCTCAATATTCCTAAATTCGGATGAATACTTCCAACTAATATTAAGTTGAAATATGGAGCAAACTTAAAGCTAATTCTTGCGAGAATGATTAAGACTTTTAATTGTAGAGTGTAGTGTTGGCAAAATCAGCAATCAATTCATATTTTTCCGCTCTCATACGCTCTTAATATCACGAGTGATATTGGAACAAAATATCATGCTTGATATTGA